CGGAAGAAAGGTTGGGCAATCTACTTCCGTAGTGATACTGCATTGGAAACCCAAGGAGGGGTCGCTTTGAGTCAGGTCCAACTCAATGGCACATAACAAAAACAACACACAAAACCAATGGCCAACTTTATTCTCAATGGAGAGAGACTGAAAACATTCCCCTGGCAAACAGAAACCAGACATAAGATGCCCTTATCACCACACCTATTCAATATTGTATTGGAAGTCCTACCTAGGGCAATAAGACAAGAAAGATAAATAAAATGTGTCCAAATTGGCAGAGAAGTAAACCTATCTCTTTGCAGATGATATAATCCTAGACATAGAAAATACCAGAGGCTCAACAAGAAAACCACTGGAACTAATAGAAGCATTCAGCAAAGTGGCAGGGTACAAGATCAACTTATAAAAATCTGTTGGATTCTTACACACTAACAGGAAAACTCTGAAAACAAAAACAGTAACATTTACAATAGCCACCAAATAGATGTAATGCTTAGGAATAAATCTAACTGGAGACACAAAAGACCTATACAAAGAAAACTCTAAAACTCTCTTACAGAAAAACAAAAGAGACCTACACAAATGGAAGAATGCACCATGCTCATGGATAGAAAGACTTAACATTGTGAAAATGTCAATATTACCTAAAGTGATCTACAGATACAATGACGTCCCAATCCATATCTATTCCTTAAAGAGATGGAAAAATTAATCACTGACTTTATATGGAAAGGAAAGAGGCCACAGATAAGTAAAGAAATAAAGAAGTACAAATAGGAAAGCCTCACACTCCCTGATCTCAATGCCTACTATACAGCCACAAGAGACAAAACAGCCTGGTATTTGCACAAAGACAGACATATAGACCAATGGAACAGAACTGAGAGCCCAGAAATAAATCCATCAACCTATGGACAGTTGACCTTAGCAAATTACCAAAAACCCATTAAATGGAGAAGAGATAGTTTCTTTAAAAATGGTGCTGGCAAAACTGGATATCCATTTGTAGAAAGATGAAACAGGATCTATATCTCTCATAATATACATAAACTTACTCAAGATGGATCAAAGACCTAAGTGTAAAACCTGAAACCTTAAAGATCTCAAAGAAAAAATAGGGGCAAACTTAGCGGCCATAATACATGGTGTAAATATACTATCAAATGTATCTGAAATTGCACAAACAGCAGAAGACAAACTAGATGACTGAGACCTCCTAAAAATTAAACATTTATGCACATAAATTTGTGTATCAAATGCATTTTAGTATTCAGTGACCTTCAGAGAACTCTTAGGACATTTGAACCTGCTTGCTCTCTTGAGACGGGCATCAGAGAGCACGTCAGGGGGAAGAGAGCATCTGTCATCATCACCTTCACCTCTTCTTGTCAGTATGATTCCTCCTTCTCTTAACATCTCCCCCAGGAACCAGTATAGTGACCAAGCACCACAGCAGGTGAACTAAGGAGGAGCTGAGAGAAGGGGCAAAGCGTCTAAAAAGACTTCACTAAAAGAGTAAAAAGAGAACGTAAAGACTGGAAAAAAATTGGCAGTGACATATAGGACAAGGAAGTAATCTCTAAAATTTATAGAAAATATCAATATACAATGTTAAAGAATATCTATGATTCTGCAAAACACCTCAAACGTGGATGAATCTGGAGGATATTATGCTGAGTGAAATTAGTCTATCACAAAAGAACAAATATTGTATGAAACCACTACTATAAAAAGTTGAGAAAAGGTTTACACATGGAAACATTCTTTGAAGTTTACTAGGGGTGGGAAAGGAAAGGAGGGTAAATCATTAACTAGAGGGTTGTTCTTGTTACCTGCCGTGCTGTGGAGTCGGACCCAACACATAGCGACCCCTCCTTGGATTTCTGAGGCAGTATCACTACAGAAGTAGATTGCTCAACCTTCCTTCCAAGGAGTGGCTGGTGGGTTTGAACCCCAGCCTTCTTGGGTGAAGGGAAAGGCAATACACACTAGAAAGAGATTAGCACAAAATGATAAGGCAAAGGAAGACATTGGCAAGAGCACAAGAATTAAAGACAAAAAAGCAAATAGTATGTACACGATCTTACAATAACAGTAACAGCAATAATCTATGAGTGGATACATGGATAGACACAAAAGCTGAATAGGAGTAGGAAGGCAAATGGGGTTACTCTTATGAATATATATAGGTTTGACAGAGGATATTTCTACATATGCATTTATATGCACTGCAAATATATCCATGATTATAGTGGACCATACAGGGGACAAAGTTATGGAAATGTCTTAGCCATAACCAAACACTGAGGGAATGAGTCACCGGGTCTGAGAGCTCAGGAGCACAGCTTTAGGGGACATCATGGTCAATTGGCATAACACAGTTTGCAAAGACAATTTTCTACATCCTACTTTGGTGAGTAGTGGTTGGGGTCTTAAAAGCTTGTGAGTGAACATCTAAAGTGCACCTATTGGTCTGTCCCCAACTGGAGCAAAGAAGAAGAAACCTCTCAGCCTCATCTTTACCCCCTCCTCCATCTCACTTACTGTTTTCCAGGCATAAGACTTTTCCTTCAACTCTTCAAACATATTAACATGGTCCTGTCACAAGGCCTTTGCACCAATGTTTCCCCCAGCCAGATGTGCTCTTCTCCTGAGTCTTTGCATGGCCAGCTCCTGTGCATCTTTCAAGTCTTAGCTCAGATGTCACTTCTTTTGAGAGACTGCCCTGACAACCCCATTTAAAACAGCTCCACTCCTGCTGCCCCCATATTGCTCTGCCTTAAATCTCCCTGTGCTGATTTTTTTCGATCTATTCTTACTCATCTTGTTAGTTGCTTGTCACCCCTGTGGAATGTCAGCTCCATGAGGGCAGAGGCTTGCTTTGTTCACTTTGATATCATAAGCACTTAGGATGATGCTTGGCACAGAGTAAGTAGGTGCTCAAGAAATGTTTCTTGAATGAATGAAGCAGAAAGTAGCTCCTCCTACTGTCTGTCATTCCCTCATCATTCTTCAAGCTTGAAAGATTTTTCTCCCTGGTTTCCATGGATCAGAGGTGCAAGTGCCACTGAGGGGAATTAATGCCCTAGTTCCAACTAACATTTAAATTCTTCTTTTCTTCTTCCCATGACATTCCACATATTTTATCAAGAGCCTACTACACACCAGGCACTGTCTCAAATCCTGGCACTGCAGGATGGTCCCTGCCCTCACAGTACTGACAATCTGGTGGAAGAGGTGGCAAATCATCCATTCACTCCTTCCCAAAGAGCTGACACACAGGAGTCTGCTAACTCTCTAGCAAAGGCTAGTTGGTGCTATGGATTGAATTGTGACCCCCAAAGACACAAGTTAAAGTATAAATTCTTGTACCTGTAAACATGAACTTGTTTGAAAATAGATTTTTGCAGATGTAATTAGTTAACATAAGGTCATACTGGAGTGGGATGGGTCCTAATCCTGAGTTGATTGTTTAGACAGAGGGAAGATGGCCATGTGAAGAAGGAAACAGAGATGCAGTTATGTTGTAGCTGCAAGACAAGGCCCACCTGGAGCTACCAGAAGCTGGGAGAGACAAGGAAGGATCTTCCCCTACAGCCTTCAGAGAGAATATGGCTCTGCTAACTTGTGGCCTCTAGAATAGTGAGAGAATAAAGTTCTGTTGTTTTAAGCCACCCAGTTTATAGTACTTTGTTAAGGTAGTCCTATGAAGTTAACATAGCTGGAGTGCTCGACTAGTCTTGAGTTTGGGGTGGCAGCACGTAGAAATTTGGGAGAAAATGGGGACAGTCACAATATTTTCAACAATTACTTGATGGGATCTCCACTGATCCACCCCTACCGACTACCAGTCAATTCCAGTCAGAGCCCATTGCCCACCCATTTCCATTTCCTAACTGCTCCACTCCCTTCTAAATTCCAAACCAGGGTCTAGAGAGTCCCAACTGTTCTTAGGTGCGTAGCAGGCCTCTGAACTAAACCTGGGTTCTCACAGAATCTCATGCCTTGGCCAGAGCCTCAGCTGGGTGGACCCAGAGGCTATATCTAAGCACAGGGAAGAGGGAATTCCTTAAGGGAACATGGCTCCTCCTCTTAATCCCAACTCCTAGTCCAGCCTGTCCAGTCTTGCAGGGAATAGAGTGTATGTTCCAGAGTCACAAGATCCTAAATTCAAATTTGACCCCATACCAAGCAAGTTGTGTCACCTCCCTGTGCCTCAGTTTAGCCATTTGTGAAACATAGTGCTAATTCTCCCCACTTTAGCAGCTTAAATGGGACATTGGTGTGCACTGTTGAACTTGACTATAATAGAAGCCAGCCGAACCTGGGCCAAGAGCCGGGCCCAGAGCTCAGATTGTAGGGACATCCAATCTAATGCCTATTACTCCATGGGGAGACTGAGGCCAGGAAGAGGCTGCAGCTTCCTTAGGGTGAGTTACGACTGCTCCAGTGCTACCTCTCAGCATGGCCACTCCTTGAATCCAGCTCCTGAAAGAGACCCCACAGACCAATCTGCCTGGACCACCCTGGAGGTCCATCCAAGGGTCCCAGACAAGAAGAAATTAGCTGTGTGGTATGCCACTACTTTTCCTTTTCTCCACACTATTGGGAAGCTCATCCTTGAAGCTTGCATCACACTTATTCTAGCCCACTAAGTTAGTATGCATACTTGTTTCTTCCTCAGATTTCCTGTCTTTCTCTTTTGCTTTCACTCTCAACAATTGCTTTTTCAAATCCTTTTCTGGAAAACTGGGGATTAAACCAACTATCTGCCATGCGCTGTGTTAATATTTAATATCTCCTTGAATTCTCATAACAGCCCTAAAAGGAGAGATCATTAATTCATTTCCGGGTTAGGAAAACTGAGGCCTAGAGGAACAAGGTGGATTATCCAGAATCACACAATCAGTAACTGGAGAAGCTAGGCCTGTATTCACTACAGACTGTTCTCTGGGGGTCTTCCCAGCATCCCTAGTTCTTAAGTACCCCCAGCCTACCTTGAGTGTGTCCCCCTTGTTGAAGGCCAGCTCATCGCTCTCTGTGGCCTGGAAGCTGTACAGGGCCACGGACTCCATCCCGCTGTCCCTGTCCCTGCCCCTTCCCACACTCCTGCTGTGCTCTGGCTTCTAAACTCACAGAGCAAGGCCAGCCGCTTCCTGCTTCCTCGCAGTGCAGTTGAGGACTGGCTTCCTCTGTTTTGAAAGCGTGTTTGTCCTTTTGAAGCTGAGACTGCAGCTGCCCCTGACAGGGGAGAAACAGGAAGCCCAGATATGTCCCGGAACAGGGCGGGCATGTGAGCCCCCCTGGCCCCAACCTCGTGCCAGAGGCCAGGTGCAGGGAGTCTCCCTGCAGCCCTGGGAATGGGGCTACCTCTTACCTATGTTACAGATGATAAAACTGAGGTGGGAAGGTGAACTGCTGCAAAGCCACCCTGCTGGCTCAGACACCCCAGATAACTCCACCAATTTGTTAATTTATCCTCCACGTTTCCTAAACCCCAATGCCTCCTGGGCTTCCCCTGTGCCTGTTACTTAAATCTCAAGCTTTTCACTGGCATTCAAAGCCCTTCCAAGCCACTATCCACACCCACAGCCACACATGCCCCTCCAGACTCATCCTTTATTACTGTCTTTCTCTCCTTCCCCAGCAGAGAGAAGGGGGACAAACACATGCAGAAGCCTGGGGACAAAATTGCCATTGAGTCAATTTCAACTCATAGTAACCCTATAAGACAGAGTAGTACTGCCCCATAGGGTTTCCAAGGCTGTACTCTAAATCCTCACAACTGGACCAATAAGCAATATCATGATAAATGGAGAAAATAGTGAAGTTGACAAGGATTTCATTTTTACTTGGATCCACAATCAACACCCATGGAACCAGCAGTCAAGAAATCAAACCATGTATTGTATTGGGCAAATCTGTTGCAAAAGACCTCTTTAAAGTGTTGAAAAGCAAAGATGTCACTTTGACCTAAGCTATGGTATTTTCAGTTGCCTACATGTGAAATGCATGAGAAATCTGGACAATGAATAAGGAAAACCAAAGAAGAATGGATCCATTTGATTTATGGTGTTGGCAAAGAATATTAAATAATCCACAGACTTCCAGAAAAACAAATATGTCTTGGAAGAAGTGCAGCCAAAATACTCCTTAAAAATGATAAAGGCAAGACTTTGTCTCACATACTTCGGACAAGTTATCCAGGAGGGATCAGCCTCTGGAGAAGGACATCATACTTGGTAAAGTAGAGGGTCAGTGAAAAACAGGGAGACCCTCAACAAGATGGATTGACACTATGGCTGTCACAATAGGTTCAAACATATCAGTGATTGTGAGAATGGCACAGAATTGGGTAACATTTTATTTTATTGTACATGGGGCCATATGAATGGGAACTGACTCAATGGCACTTAGTAACAACAAACTTTATGGAGACAGACTATCACATCTTTCTTCCGAGGAATAGCTGGGTTCAAACCAATAACTGTTAGATAACAGCTGAGTGCTTAACCACTGTGTCACCAGGGCTTCTTCCATAAAAATTACAGCCTTAGAAATCCTAAGAGGCAGCTCTACTATGTTCTATAGGGTCACTATGAGCAGAACGGTATCATTACTTATTCTGATGTTCAAATTTGACCAGAATTGGCCAGTGGGAGCCCCTTCACCTGGCACCTGTGTCCTTCTGACATATTTCCATCATTCTCTGGCTACATTCTTACTTTCTGACACAAAAAGATGTTCTAGACTTGCAGTGCAGTGAACTGCTTGGTATGACCCTTCTAGCCATAGTCCTGTGACTCCCAGCAAATGATTGGATGGGGCTTTGCAAATATGAGGTGCTCATGGCTCACCCAGGGGACTGGGTAACTTGTTAATAATGTAAATAGGGTTCATAGCACTCTTGTGGGGATAGGACCATACAAATAAGGTATATGGAGCCTTAATGTAGCTTTGGTCAGTTTTGCCATTCTGCTAGGCTTACAAGAGACATCCCAAAGGTGGGAAGGGAAGATCTCACTATCATCAAAAAAGAAGAGCCGGGGGTAGAGTGCATACTTTGGACCCAAGGTCCCTATGATGAACCTCCTCGATCAAAGAGACAGAGAGCTGTGACACTGGTGATGGTGAGAAGCAGCAGCAGAGAAATTGTGGCAGCAAAGGAAGCAAAACCAAGAGACTGGCATGAGACAAGAAAGGTAGGCTTCCTGGAGCATGGAATGAGAGAGCTGACTGCCTTCAAGCAGGAGGCTTGCTGGTGGAGTGGGGTGTCTCTGGGCATTTACTGGCAGGGCCAAAAGAGCTTTTTAACACTTATCTTAGCAGGGCAGAGGCCAGGCCAGGTGGCTGAGGGCATGGCAGAGGTGAGGCTGTCCTGAACAAAGAACTGTATCCTGAGCATTCTTGTTTCTGAATGTGACCTGTTATTTTCCTAAAAAAAACCCTATAATCATGAGTATTATCTCTGAGTTCTGTGTGGTCATTGCAATGAACCCAGTAGAGAAGTAGATAGTGCCATGGGAGGGATGGTTGATGACAGAAGTAGTAAAAAGTTTAGACAGGAGTGGCATGTCTGACCTCTGCTCATAAGAATCAGCCTTGAACTGTTGATGTTGATGTTGATCCTCTGTCTTCTTGTGAAGTTAGAGGAGGTCAGATGCTATGTCCACACTATTTTTATAGAGCTCATCTTCAACTTTTCTTCCCCCATACCTGGAGTTAGCTTCTCTCCAAGCAAGGAGTCCTGGTTCTTTTTAGTGGGGGATGGCATTTATAAACCAAGATTGCACTGAGTCCTCAGTTCTACCAAAGGCAATTGCTTCTAGACCCTCTCAGCAGAGTTAAGAAAATAATTACATATATGTGTGTGTGTATATATGTAATTTTTAGAAATATATTTCCTAGTGGATAGAAAGGGAGCTCTGCTGGCGTAGTGCCTAATGCATTTGACTGCTAACCAGAAGGCTGGTAGTTGAAATCCACCAGCCACTCCTTGGAAGGAAGGTTGGACAATCTACTTCTGTAGTGATACTGCCTCGGAAACCCAAGGAGGGGTCACTATGAGTCGGAGTCAGCTCAATGGCAGTGAGTTTGGTTTTTTGGTTTTAGCAGATAGAATATCTCCATATTTCTATATTTAGTTCTGTATCTGTCAATATAGATACAAATACGTTGTTGTTATTGTGTTGTTGCTAGCTGCTGTTGAGTTGGCAACTCTATGTACAATGGAAGGAAACACTGTCTGGTGCTGTGCCATCTCCATGATTGATTGGGGATACTACTGTTGTGATTCATAGGGTTTTCACGGCTGATTATTCAGAAGTAGATCATCAGGACTTTCTTAGTCTAGAAGCTGCTGAAACATGATATTCAGCATCATAGCAAACAAAAGTCTCCACCGACAGACATGAGGTGCATTGGCCAGGAATTGAATCCAGTCTCTTGCATGGAAAGCAAGAATTCTACCACTGAACCACTACTGATATAACCACTATTGAAAAAGATAGAGATAGATTAAAAACCATAAGCTGAGTCAAACATGAACCAGTCAAGGCAGGTGAAGGGTATATGGGTATCATTGAACATTCTGACAACTTTTCTGTAGGTTTGAAATTTTTCTAGGTAAAAAGTTGAGAAGATGTATGTAAATCTCAAAGTAAAATGTTTTATTAAAAAAAGAAAACATCAAGTAGACACATGCCCTGGAGAGAACAATCATGGGAGAAGGAAGGGCTGCTTATGCACAGGGAGATAGCTCAGGGTGCAGAAGAGTATGAAGGGATGGACA